ATTTATATTAATAACATATCTATCTAACATGTAATCAAACTTTAAGTGTCATTTATTTGGCAATGCTTACCATATCATTTAACATATTTAATAGGCCTAATTATTATTATTATTATTTTTATTTTTATTTTTTTTATATATAAAGAGATGAAACAAGTCTTTGAGGTGTTTCAGTGGTCCTTCTGAAAAACTCCAAAGTTTTTAAAAATCTTAAAGGTCAGGAAAATGACTCTCTTTAGCATTTGAATCTTGGGAAGTATGTCAAGCATACTTGATCAAAAAATTCATATCATTATTGTGAAACGACATGACATTATTTACTTACTCAAAGTGACAATATAAAACTTTAAATATAAATACAGAAGTTTACATAATTATTAACAAAACTTAGTTCTTACTATTGTGGAGATTTAGTTTTTGGTTTTTTGTTTTTTTTTTTTAAGATTTTTATTGGGGAATTGGGGGGATGGGAACAGTGCTGGGGAATTGGGGGAAGGGGAACAGACAAGTTGATGTCGTTTTTTGTTCTTCAATCTAGTTGTGGAGGACGTTGCTTCACTGGCCCAAGTTGGCACCATCATTGCGCTCTTCTCTGGCGAGGCAGATCAGTCGCCGGCTTCTGGACGGCCGCTCACTGCGGCTGCTGGCCGCTCACGCTGGCTGCCGGCCACACACACGGCAGCCCATGGCAACCCACTGCCACAGGGGCTGCAGCCTCCGCCGTCGCCAGCGACCCACGGCTGCCCAGTTCCAGGTTGAGCTGCTGTTCAGCATCCTAGCTGCAGAGGGCAGCGTCACTGGCCCTCATATGTGGGATCCGAACCAGGGTTCTCTGGTGTCCCAAGCCAGTTCTCAACCATCGCGCCACTCGGCCGGCCTGAGTTTTTGGTTTTTTAAAAGATTTTATTGGGGAATTGGGGGAGGGGAACACTGTTGGGGAATCGGGGGAAGGGGAACAGACAAGTTGCTCTCCTTTTGTTCTTCAGTCTACTTGTGGAGGACGTTGCTTCACTGGCCCATGTTGGTATTATCATTGTGCTCTTCCCAGGTGAGGCAGTCGCTTGCCGGCCATTGGATGGCTGCTCATGGCGGCTCATGAAGGCTCAAGAAAGCTCAGGCCCGTTGCCGGCCAGCCCCACTGGAGCCTACGCCGTCGCCAGCAACTCACAGCAGCCCAGCTCCAGGTCGAGCTGTTGTTCACCATCTTAGCTGTAGAGGATGCAGCGTCACTGGCCCTCATGTGGGATCCGAACCGGGGCCCTGCTGCTCAGAGCTGGCGTCCCAAGCCAACTCCTAACCAACGGACCGCTCGGCCGGCCCCCTAGTCCATTTTAGTTTACCTCTTTTTATTCAGAAATAACCAGCTTCAGGACAAACACTTTCCTTCTAGTTTCCTCCAAAAATGTATCTCTATACCTTATTCTTTTATTACAAAAATATATAGTTTCTTTCCATCTTAACTAGAATTTTTAACTCTTAAAAACTTTGATTTCTAAAAAGTAAGCAATTAGTACTCTGCAGACTGGCAAAATTATGATTACATTTCATAACCTCTAGAAGCATAGGCTTTTATTTGCAATATATTTACAATATTTTTAGAAACATTTTTGATAAAGTATAAGACATATCATCAACAGATTCCAATTTATCTTTTAGTTTCTCTGCAATAAGAAGCCAAAAGTAAGTGAACTCAGACTTATCTAATAACTAATGTTTCAGCATTTTATGTTATTTTGAAATATCTAGACTTTCAATAATTTTAATCATTTAACTTTGTAAAACTCTAAGGTTTCAAGTTACCAAAAAATTTGGGGAACCACGTTTAAGCATGTATATATCATATAACATTATTATTACTGAAAAGCTTTATTAACAACTTTATTTTAGTTATATGTTTATTTTTAAATAACTCTATGAGATTTCAAAGTCAGTTATTACCTAAGCTATTTTCTTATTCATTTATTTATTTATTTGGGGAATTGGGGGAGGGGAACAGTGTTGGGGAATTAGGATGGAGGACCAGCCAAGTTGTTGTTCTTCAATCTTACTTGTGGAGAGCGCCAGTTGCCATCTGGCTGCCTGTTGGCAGCTCGTGGCCTCGAAGCTCAAGGTGCTGTGTTACAATCTTAGTTGCTGGTGGGCATAGCCACTACTATCCCATGAGGGAGTCTAACCAGCAGCCTTGTTGTTAAGATTGCATGCTCTATCCACTGAGCCATCCAGGGGGCAGCTCAGTTCAAGTCGCCAAGTTCAGTCTTATTTGCGGGCGGGCGTAGCCCACCATCGAACAGGCAGTCTTGTTGTTAGAAGCATGTGCTCTCACCAGCTGAGCCATCCTGCCACCTGTTGGCAGCTCAGCCGCAGCTCAGCTTGGGTGCAGTGTCACTGGTCCATGTGGGAATCGAACCGGCGACCCTGTTGCTCAGAGCTCGCGCTGAGCTTGTGCTCTTAAGCTAACTCTCAACCAACTGAGCCACTCAGCTGGCCTCCCCCCAAGCTATTTTCTTGACAAATTTTGTAACAAAGGTAACATGAGTTTATTTTTTAAAACCCAGGTGAAACAAAAGATACCATATTTAATGTCAATAACTCTAATAAAAGTCATGTCCATTAACTAAAACTTAAACCAGCCTTAGTATCAAATATTTTCCTAGCTCACATGATTCTGAAAAGTACTTGGGCCAGTTTCTATTATTTATTTTTTAATTTATGTAAATCCTTAATTTTTTCAAGCCAATTAAACATTATAAACTGGTAATACCATCCAGAGGCAAAAATACCATATCATATATAAAACACAGACAAACACAGATGTCAGAGATCATACACATAAACAGAATTACCAATGATTGTAGAGAGGACTTAAGATTTTTTATTTGTCCTTGACAGTTTAAAGGAGGCTGGGAAAAGGGGAGTGTCCAGCTTGTGAGGTTAGCTGCTTATGTTTTTATTTTTTCAGCTGAGCCATCCTGCTACCTATTGGCCACTTAGTGGCAGCTCAGCTCAGGCCGGACATCAAACCGCTGTTGCTCAGAGCTCAAACTCTTGAGCGAGCTCTTAACCAACTGAGCCACTTGACTGCCCCAGCTGTTTGTGTTTTTTAAAAGCAGTTATTTCAGCCTCAGGCCGTAGTGGCTGTGTTTATATTGCTGGTTATAGCTGTAAAAACTTGAAAGTTACTAAGAGAAAAATCTTATAAAACTTTTAATTCTGCCAAGTTTATGAACATAGAGTTGGTGTCCAATTATAAGTGGACCAAGAGACAGTTGGACTCCCCTACTCTTAGCGCTTAAAAAGTTGTTGAGTCCCAAAGAGTTTGTTCCCAAAGGGGCAGATGAAGATCAGAAAGAGGCAGGACACCTATAAGTGACGCTGGCCCACAGCACTTTTGATACGGGAGAGCCCCCTCACTATAGAAAATTTAAGTCTCCTTTTCCCTAGTTTCTTAGCTCCTTAGTCCCTGGCTTTGATAAATCTTCTAATCAGTTTCTGAATCCTAGACTAAAAATTGCTCCTAGCCTGAATCACAGAATGTCTCTCATCCCTGCTTCAGATAACTACTTAAAAGCCTGTGACTTCCCAACATTCCCCATTCCGGACCTAACTCTTGGATAATTCCATCCCAGAGACTAAACAACGGGGGATGGGATTAACAACAAAAGCTTTCTGCCAGGACTTCGAAGAGTTTCAGGGATAATGAATGTAACAAAGATGACCATAGTGTCATTGTGAAAGTCGAATACACAGGTTGCAAAAATCTCGAACCCAGAGAGAAGTAAGTAATCAAGGAAAATAATCAGGTGACTTGAAAGCCACCGGAGGGAGGGGATGAGAGAGGTGGGGAATGTAGATGGCCAGATCAAAACCAGATCAGGGGTAGGGCCACTACAGAAACAAGCAGTTTCTCTAAGGGGGACACTCCTTCTTAGTTAGGCAAAGAGGCTGCACCCTAACAACAGGGCCTCAGAAATTTGCCAGGGCGTCCGGATAGTCATGGGAAAGGGGAAGTGGAACCAGGACTTCAAGGCACAGAAATCAGGATCTGACTGACCGAAGAGGGCAAGAAAGAAGAGACAGAAATAAGTAAAGAATTAAGGAAGGAGGGCTGGCCGAGTGGTGCGTTGGTTAAGAGCTGGCTTGGGACGCCAGCTCTGAGCAGCAGGGCCCCGGTTCGGATCCCACATGAGGGCCAGTGACACTGCCCTCTACANCTGAGGGTAGTGCAAGAATCAGGGAGGCCACATCAGTCCAGCAAATCCCTGAATCCACTCCCTCCCTGGCTAAGACCTGGGTAAGCCTGACGCCCTCCCAGAGCCCACCCAGATATCCTTCCATTACCAGCCCGATCGCCAGATACCATTCCAGAGCTCCTTTTACATCTCGCCTCATCCCTTCACCTTGCGAGGGTGTTTTACCATTGCCCTGCTTTCCAGAGGGGGTTACCGAGGCACAGCGAGTAGGGAACTTTGGGCCCAGGATACGATCCCAGGCTGGCAGGGTTCAGAGTGCGCCCTTGAATACCCCAGGTGCAGCCTCCCGTCCTCAGTGCGCGGTCCGTCGGTGCAGGAGGGAGGGAAGTGCACGAGGGGTTGGGCGGTTATGAGACCCAGAGGGTGGAAATGGACAGAAAACCCGGGTATGGGAGGGAACAGAAGCCCAGGGGGGTGGGAGGGGACGAGACTCCGAGGGTGGGAGTGGAGAGAAACCCCAAGTATGGGAGGGAACAGAGGCTCGAGCTAGGACGAGACGGAGACGCGGGGAAGAAATGCTACAGAGATCTGGGGTGGGAGGGGAACAGGTTATAAATAAACACGAGTGGGAGGGGAGACCCGGGGAGCGGCTGTCAGGCTCTAGCGTGCACGTGGAGACCAAGGGTCCTGCCGAGGACTAAGGCCACGGGTTAGGGGTCACGCCCGCGGGTCTGGTCCAAGGGTCTCCAAACCTGAGGTCAGGGTCAAAGGTTCCCAGGGGTTAAGGGCCAACAGCGCCGGTCAACTCACCTGAGCGCCGCGGGTCGAACTTCTGGCCGGACCGGGAGCGGATCTCCCAGGACTGGCGCACGCCGTCCCCAGCCGCCATTAGAACGCCGCAGCCTAGCGTGTTGGTGACGAGCAGTGCACGGCCTTGGAACAGGGGCTGCCCCGCTGCCCAAAGGCCACGAAGCCAGCGCCCGCCGCCCGACGCCATCGCGCGCCGGGATCCGGAACCCGAGGGCCGGCTAGCCCCGCCCGCGCCAGAGATGTCCGTCCCGCGCCGTGTTGGCCAATCGCTGACCGCTTGGTTCTCCACTTAGCCAATAAAAGGTCGGCATTCCATCCCTCGGCCAATCACTGAAAGAAGCTACACGCCGCGGCCAATCACAAGTAAGCATCGCACACACTACGCATGCCAATTGCTGAAGTCCCACCCGTGCTTCCTCGCCTCTTTTTGCGCCGGTCTATGGGTAGCCATGGCCACATTCTTAACTAGCTACAGCACTGGCCAATGTCAGACCACCGTTATGCTTGTCGTCCCGCCTCCCACGTTGAAATGGCCAATCTTAGCACACTCTCTTCTTTAGCGTGTTAACTGGTCTGGGGTCCCTGGCCCTGTCAGAAAAGAAATCAAGAGCGAAACAGTTTTGCAGAGAGAATGGCTTATTAAAGCGAAAGCTTGATGCACCAAGAGAATGGATGTGGCTCCCTCAGGTTTACAGATAACCGTGGTTTTATAGGCTCTTGGTATTAGGGGCCCCCTTTTCTTTTCCCTCTCCCAAAGTATGTTGAAGTGGGTCCTACACTGCGCCTGCGCCGTGTACCTACCTGCTACTTCGTGCATCGCATGTCTCATCAGCATCTTAAATCTCCTCCTAGGGGAGTATTTCTTATTACCATAATGAGGAAAAGTTAATTATAGGACTACTCTTTTAACTAATGTGCAAGCGCGACTTTAGAAACTTTCCCTGGGCCCACTTATCTCTTCTGCGATTATGGTTCTGTCCGCTCATTGTTTATTGGCCACGGGATGTGGGTCAAGGTTCTACATGACTACCTTACGTGACCAAACTACTACATTCCCCACTAAGAGATTTTTATCCTCTTTAGTCTTAAAGGGGTTGGGCCAAAGGTCTCTTCTGAAACTACTTCTTGATAGAGGGACGTTGTCAGGACCCTAAACCCAGGAGAAGTAGAAATCTCGCAACCTGATCCAAGGGTCGATATGCTCCTGAGCCTTGCATTTCATTGGTCCGGATCAGCTGGAACCCTTGCATGTGTTTCATGCAACTATTGAAGCCTGCAAGAAACAAAACTTGACAAGGAGGTTAAATAAACAAGGACCAAAGAGTAGCAGTTAGTAGGATAGTTACTAAAGGCCTTAAAATGGGTAAAAACCAAATAAGGCTGTAGATGGCGCTCTTAATAATCGACCAGATTGTGTTAGGATTCTGTCTCTTGGTTATAGCGATGTAGCCAAGATGTTTGCTTATAGACGGTCGGTATATTTGTTTCGACTCTTCCTGAGTTGTTAACATAAGTGTAGCAGGTTTTATTAAAGACAAAACAAATTACCCCTCTGCTCTGCCAGCAGATAATCTATAGCTAGTCTACTGTCAAGGACTGTGTTTGCCAGTGAATCTAAGGAAGTTTAAAGGCGATGGAGGGCTTCTTGTGCTTGGAGGAAGAGCTTTTGCCTCTATTATCCCATTTAGACTGACAATAGCATATCTTGTTTTTCGAGTTTTATTATTTTTTTTACAAAACTGCTGCCATCTGTCAACCACTCCTCATCTGGGTTTCCCAAAGGGGTATCTTGTAGGTCCATTCAATTAGAATAGACCTGCTGTAAGGTTTTTACGTAAGTGTGTTCTAAGGCTTCCCCTGTAGCTGCGGGAAGCAGAGTGGCAGGGTTTAAAGCCTGACATGCTCTTAAGGTAAGGTCTGGGGTATCTAGCAACAGAGCCTGGTATTGAGTAAATTTCCCTCCAGTTAGCCAGTGATGTCCCTTTACTTCCAACATGTCCTGAATCTGATAAGGTGTAAGGACTTTGAAAGGTTGTCCCAAAGTCAGTCGGGGGGCCTCCCTGACTAGGAGGACTGTGGCCACTATTGCTCTGAGACAGCTGGGCCATTCTTGGGCAACCAGGTCCAGTTGTTTTGAAAAACAGGCCACTGATCTCTGTATAGGTCCCAATCTTTAGATTAGAAGATTGGCCTAGTCTTTTGTGTACATCAAGGGAAAAAGGCCTTTTTTAAAAAAAATCTGGAAACCCCAAAGTAGGGGCTCTCCCTAATTCAGACTCTTAAATTCTCATAGGCCTTCTAACAAGTTTTGTTTCATTGGAGAGGCTCCCAATTTAGACAACAAGTCTCAGCCAATTAGAGGGATGGGACACTCAGGAACATATAGGAAAGAAGGAGTTATAATCTTAGACCCAGTCTCATAAATAAAGGGAAAAGTAAATTGTCTTACCTTAGGCTGGCTGTCTATTTGTCACTGTGCAGTTGGCGTTAGAAAGAGGCCCGATGGGCTGGATTAGAAGAGAGTAGGTGGCTCCAGTATCTAATAAAAATTTAGTTTTTCTGCCTGTGGTATTGAGGGTGACTAGAGCTCTGCTGTCGTGATGGCAATGGATCTTTCTGGGACTGTAGCCTGGCGAGCGCTTTGGCCTCCTCAGTTGGAGAAGGTGGTTTTCTCAATCCAGAGACTAGCCATGAGGGGAAAGACTTAAGAGGTTCCTCCTTTTTGCAGTATTTACATTGTGCCCCAGTCTCAATGGCACCATCTGGGGTAGAGGGTGGGGTGCATCCTGGCCTGAAAGTTCTCTATTGCTGGAGTCACATGAGATGGTTCCTGGGTTGTGGCAGCCAACATTTATGCCTTCCTTTTTTTTTTCCCCCCCTCTCTTGTCCTTTTTAGCCTCTTCCAAGCAATCCTGACTATTAAAAACCTTGAAGGCTTCTGACACCAAGGCAGCCTATGGAGTCCAGGGTCTAGTTTCCAACTTCTGGAGCTTCTTCTGAATATTTGGCACAACCTGAGTTATGAGGGCCAGGAGAGTCTGGCCCTCATCAGACTTTGAGTCTATGTTAGTATATTTTCTAAAGGATTCAGACAGTTAAGCTATATAGTATGACTTTCATCCTTGCAAAGTTTTTTGTGTTTTTTTTAGACGAGGTTGTCTAGGCCCAGTCTATGGGTTATTTTTCCCTGTTTTAATATACTAAGGTTTGAGGCATAAGATGTGCAAGGTAGTTCCTCTGGCATGGCAGCTCTGGCTCCATTTTAAAGTGGCTCCTTTATGTTATTGTTTATAGTTTCCTCCTTTTGATCAAGATTTTTCCTTGAAAGCATTGCTGATTAATCTTCAAAGAGCGCCACTAATCAGTTATTAAAGGCATCATTGGTCCTCTATTGTCAAGATGGCTCATTTTGAGTATGTCATGCTAATGTCAGTCCCTCCTGGATTCTCAGTGTGTCATGTCTAACTTAGGAGGGAAAGTAGTCTTCTAGAATCCTTAGGCCACCTTTAAGCTACAATCAGTGCCAGCACAGAGGAAGGCTTTACCATCATGTTTTTTTGTTTGTTTTTGTTTTTTTTTAATTATTTTTTTTGGGGGGGGAATTGGGGGGATGGGAACAGCGCTGGGGAATTGGGAGAAGGGGAACAGACAAGTTGCTGTCGTTTTGTTCTTCAGTCTAGTTGTGGAGGACGTTGCTTCA